TGTGCCGAAGATGTAGAAGCCAAGGGCACCGGCGAGAAGAGCTGCGCCGGTCAGAGGGAGCCATGTCGATGCCCAGAGATCGCGGAGGGTTTCGGCTTGTGCAGGGCTTGCCGGGGTCGACGAATTTGAGGGAGGGGATGGAGACTGAGACTTTCTGGGCGTGCTGTATCAGTATGATTGATCTGGCATCGCATCTATTGAGGAGTCGTTACGGTATGTAAGCTTTTGAGATCTTGGGTGGAGGGCGAGACGTTGGTGTTTTGATATTAGGGCGGGGAGGTCGAGGAGTAGAGCTCGCGAAACGACACTGGGTACGGCAGGCTCTCACGACGAGGCCTCGAGTCGGAGAGATCATAACGACAAATTTTCCATGGAATTGAAGCGGTTTCTGGTGTCCTGAGAAAAACTGAATTGTCTGATTTTACATGTGGAAGCAGATGAAAAGAAAAGACCTAAAGCTAAGTAAGACAAGGGTTTCGTGGAGGGGAGCGGATCCAAGGTCGGGCTAAGTTAGTGGGTCCGATCTCGCCAGGCTAGGCACTCATTCATCTTATTGCGGAGTGTTAACGATTTCGTGAAATAGGACTTGCGACTTACAACAACATTGTCTCGATACTGGAATATTCAAGACAGGGACCATAATATCAAAAATCACAGGCCTGTCTTTCGATTCTCATTTGCCTCTCATATCCCCTGCCTGTAATTAAAATCAAAAAACATATGGCGACGCAAAATGACCTCCAGGAACTTTTACGCCTCCTCACGGCGCGTAAAATGTCCATGATGGCAGCAATGGGACAGGTGAAGGCTCTACAATCAAAGAATCTACGAAGGTATATATGACTTGTGTAACCGACTAACATCCTGATGCTAACGCCTATGAAATAGTATAGCACAAATCGCAGACGCGACCTTGGCTACAGTTGAGGAAGCACTCAGTGGCGATGCAAAGGCAGCAAAGAGCCTTCACACAGCATGCAAGAACCATGAGAAGAAATCAGGAACGAAGCGTGGAGCAGACGGTGGTGCGGCTCCCGCTGAAGCAAAGAAACCAAAACTGGAGACGCATAGACGAGATCTAGATTATGGCTCCATGTCCGGGGATGATCTCGAGGCTTCTCTTGAATTGCCACTGCAGGAGGATGAAGACATCATTCGAAACACCACAATTTTGACAAACAGAGCGCCCTTGTTCTTGGCCTTTGCTGTTGAGCTGTTGAGGTACACTATGCCAGAACAGCCCCTGAGTAGCCGATTGAGTCTGGCACAGGCAGTGGTAAGTGCCAACTCACGAACAAAAGCCATCAGCATAGGCATCGAAAAAGTACCCCCAGGAGGCGAAGAGAAAGCCCCTGAAGGTCAACCGAAGATCACCATCATGAACCGACCGGTTCCGGTTTTGAAGAGAAGCGGCTACACTTGGTCAGGATCGTCTCAGCCAGCATCATCCAGCGCTTCCTCAATTACCCTTCAGGGGAGTCAACCAAATCCAAGAGGCTGGACTGCAAGTCAGAAGCTAACATCAAGGGGGTCGGTATTTATAGCTCATGCTATACCTATAACATCACCTGCGACGCGTCCGGCGGTTTTCAAATCGTTAATGGCTGAGAAGCCGGAGTTGGAGACCGCAACTCACAATGCTTGGGCGATCAGGACTAGCTTTGGTAATTCGCCCCTAAAGCAAGAAGCATCGTTTGACGATGGTGAATCTGGTTGCGGAAGCTTCTTGCTCCAACAACTACGTGATCTCGACATCAGCAATACGTTGGTTGTGCTTACGAGATGGTATGGCGGCATCATGCTTGGCCCGGATCGCTGGCGTCTCATGAAAGAATGCCTCAACGATGCCTTGTCGTCTCAAAAGCGTACATCTAGTTTGAACGGTGAGCCAGTTTGGGCTCTGAATCTTGAAGACAAGAGTCCTTCAACATCGACGGTTGGCATGCCGATACATCGACCGGAAGGTGCACGAAACTACATCCTCCGAGCTTTCGCGCCAGCAGATGACAGCGGAAAGAAGACTGTTACAGCAGCCAACGAGGAGAAGCAAGAGAATCTGGGCCGTGTGCTGGGTGCGCTACGCTTGTTGTTTGCCAGTTGGGCTGGCATTCTGAGCCGTGATGAGTTGGACAAACGAGCTTGGACCTGGTATATGAATCTTCGACCTGATGTGGACGCTGGGCCGGCAGGTTGGGGAGCGAAGGGGACGCTAAATTTGGGAAGAATATTAGACCTGAGGAGAAAGGAGACTGCGTGATGTAGGTCTACGGTTGCTAGAGGATGATAGGTTGGCAAGACACGGTACCCTGAGAGTGAAAGCAAGGCTGATTCGCAAGATCGATATTCTTGGGCCACATCGTTCAAGTTCCTGCTTTTATGTATGTCGATGGCAGCAAGTGAGTGTTGCTATGCTCCATACTTCGGGTTGCTCCGGAGATGCAACAAACTTCAGGTCTAGATATGCTGGGCACTTATGTTTGCGAGGTTAGGGAATCTCGTGTTCAACATGCTATTTTATCGATCCTTCTACATCATCGCATCCTAGTTTTTTATTGTATTACTTCTTGGCTGGTGTAATAGATGAACATCTGTAGATGCTGTCCACCGTGAGTTCACAACAGCAGTAGTCAGTTGTTATCACAAGTATGCACCATGAGCTGCCGCGATAGATGGCATCATAACGCAGGCTCATATCTTATTAAACCTTCAGATGGAATCATCTTGCCACACGTAGATGCATATTTCCTTTTTTGATACTATTGAGATGCAACGTCTTGAATGAGATGTTTTCCTTACCCTGGAGACCATGCCTAGGTTTCGACTTCAATATCATTACGAAATCGATATTGCTGCTTAATATTTCGAGCTTATGCAACAAAGTTTATGTACCGTTGTAAGATTCTAACGGGAGGAGAGAATAGTCCAATTTCATGAGCTGTTGACAAGTGATTCACACCTCATCATGACTGTCCTGACAACTGCTCTCTCCCTCTGATATCGGACTATTGTGGACTGACAATGATCAAATCGCCAAAATCAATTAGTAAAGAGATACCTATATTTCGTGCCTGCAGTGCCATGTAAAGCCACAATGTGCTGCTTGATGATATAGTTTTGATAAAGTAACTCAATGAATACATGATGCAATCCAATTGGCTCAGCAACTGAACATATAAACACGGTAATTTGAATTAAACAAACTTAAGCATGCTTTCCACGTGCATGAGACTGACTCCAGAGTTACGAATTGTATCGCATATCTCGACCATCGTCCATGAGTACTGCGTCTTATTTCTTTACTATCGTCTATCCCTGTCTGAATCAGCTCTATATTTCCTAGTCGTTTCCTAGTCCTCATCAATTCGTTTAAGGCGCAGTGGCAGAGTGGTCTAATGCGATAGACTAGAAATCTATTCTCCTCGGAGGCGTCTGTTCGAATCAGGCCTGCGTCGAATTGGCTTTTTTGCGTCTCCCACCCACGTCTCTCTGGTATAGATGAATGTTAAAGGAATTCCAAATAAACTTTTCTTTCCTCTCTCACTCAACAAAAGAGTATATTCTGGTTCTGTTTAATTAAAGACTCTTTTCCCTTTTATTAGTAACTAAGTTAAGCTGTTGTTGCTGGGTTATTAATGTGAATGCATAACATCCAAGACTTTGACTTTTGTGAGTCAACTTGAGTCAGGACTTCTGCAATTAATATATCTACGACTTGGCGAAATTCCTCACTGGTCGGCTGGTATTCATCCAATGAAAGCAATGGGAGTTATGCTCCTAGATTAATATCTCCTTACCCATGGCCATTCCGAACAACGTCACTCTTTGAACAATCCCGAGACAGATCCAGAGACAAAGGTAGAGACAAAGGCAGAGACAAAGAAAAGACAAAGAGACAAAGGGATTGGAACACGACCAAGGCGTGTATTTCATCATTATCAGCCTCAAATTGCCCGCCTCCCCGAGACAACCATGATGAATGAGAGGAAGGATATTGGATGCAATTGGGCTCGTGAATCACTCACCAATGGCTGAGCAGAAGTCAAACTTGAGCAATGGAGCTAAGGTAGTCCCAAGGGATGCGCGACCTAGGTATTGGATGACTCCAGCTGCTGTGATCGCTACAGGGGGGGCACCCCCTGAATGCTGCTGGATTTTACTTTTTAGTGGCTCGACTTGTAAGGATCGCGCTGCCACTGCACTGAATGATGCGTGAGTAGGTTCCACGCATTAGATTGTTGACGCGCCAAACTAAACAAGTCCAGTCCCTTCTCGTCCAAAGTAAACACAAGACAGTGTAATTTGATTTCATCCTCCATCGCGAGAGAGATCTCATCATCCCAGGGACTCTCAGGCACATTGTCCACAACGCCCGCCACAAACCCAAATCTCAGCAACAACGCCGCCATCAGCATCACCATTCTTTTGACGATTCTCACTACCAAGAGCACGAATATTCTTTGATACGCCATTCAAAAATCCCTTGCATTGCTGTACCCGTTCATTTCCAGGTGCATCTTACCTCAGGTTGGTTCACAGTTACCTTACCTTATTACCTTGAGTTTAGTAGGTAGTTCGTAGCTGGACCCTTTTTCTTCGTCTAACTACGTCCCCCCCGCCTTGCTCTCTTCCCTCCTCCCCCACCATCGATCAGTAGAGCCTCTTTTCAAAAGGTCACCGACGAGCAAGGAGACAAAGGACGGCAAGATAAGACATTTTCTCTGCTGTCGGAGCAACTCGAGTCCGGACTTGTTCCACGCATCTCTCGATCGCATAACGAAACGAGACACATACACACCGATCCTTGTCGTACCTGGTCTTACTCTCTGATCTGTCCCACCGCATCTCGAGCTTGAACCTTCAACTAGCACCGTCAACGCCGCCGACGCAGTGTCTCGCTTAATTCCTCTACAGGCGACTCGCGCGTTTCATCCTTTCTTCATTCCGACTTTCGATCTGCCTTTCCCTCTTCGCAAAACAGGTACAGGGACATATCATCGACCATGGAGAACTACCAAAAGTTGGAAAAGATTGGTGAAGGTACGTGTACAAACAGACAAGCCTTGTGATGCCTGCCCTCTAATCTTCACGCCACCGGCTTTGCCCTCCCGAAAACCCAACGCTGACACTTTACAGGTACCTACGGTGTCGTCTACAAAGCTCGAGACCTTGCCAATGGCGGTCGAATTGTCGCCCTAAAGAAGATCCGCCTCGAAGCTGAAGATGAAGGCGTCCCCAGTACCGCCATCCGCGAAATCTCTCTCCTGAAGGAGATGCGAGATCCCAACATTGTTCGTCTCTTTAACATCGTCCATGCCGATGGTCACAAGCTGTACCTTGTCTTCGAGTTTCTTGACCTCGATCTCAAGAAGTATATGGAGTCTCTCCCCGTGAGCGATGGTGGTCGAGGCAAGGCGCTACCTGAGGGTTCATCTCCTCACCTACAGCATCTTGGTCTGGGTGATATGGTTGTTCGAAAGTTCATGTTCCAGCTTTGCGACGGTATCAAGTACTGCCACTCCCACCGTGTTCTCCACCGCGATCTTAAGCCCCAGAACCTCCTGATCGACAAGGAGGGTAACCTCAAGCTCGCTGATTTCGGCCTTGCCCGTGCCTTTGGCGTGCCTCTGCGCACCTACACCCATGAAGTTGTTACTCTTTGGTACCGAGCCCCTGAAATTCTCCTAGGAGGGCGTCAATACTCGACCGGTGTTGACATGTGGTCCGTTGGCTGTATCTTTGCCGAAATGTGTACAAGAAAGCCCCTCTTCCCCGGTGACTCTGAAATTGATGAGATCTTCAAGATCTTCCGGTAAGTATCAGTATTGTATAGAGCTTCGAGTTTCCTCCCACTGACAGTCAAACAGCATCCTCGGCACGCCCACTGAAGAGAACTGGCCTGGCGTCACTTCCTACCCTGACTTCAAGGCGTCCTTCCCCAAGTGGCAGCGCGACTACAGCAAGGACCTTTGCAAGGACCTCGACGCCCATGGACTGGAATTGCTCGAGATGCTGTTGGTGTACGACCCTGCTGGGCGTATTTCAGCCAAGGCTGCCTACAACCACCCCTACTTCGAGCCTCTCCTGACACAAGAGCAAGCATCCGCTCAGCCAAATGGCTACTATCACTAGATGGGATATGGAGCTCCATACCAGATGATGCAGATGCAGAGGCACTAAAGTTCCACCGCCGAATGACGAGCGGGACCAAGATATTCTCTCTTTCCGAGGTACTGTTGGCGCTTCTCCTAGGCCGAGGAGAAGATGACATTGATATGGCAACAGCAGCAATGCCCAAGCAACATTGCGCAATAACTGTCCACTTGGGCGACAGACAAGCAGCCATCGACTCGCCTGGCCTAGTTTGACCTCGTTTATTGATTGGCCACTCACGAGGCTCACCAGTAATGTTTATGATGACCAACAAGAAGCGTGACTAACTAGACCGTTGGGTTGAAGGCTGTTGGAGGTTTGGCCAGATCACGGGGGACAACGAACGGGATGAAGTTGGCGTGGCAGAACAGGTGAAAAGCAACGGGTAAGCAACAGCCTGACTTTGAGGCGTTTGGAAGGCGAACGGAAAATATGATAAAATAGGTTCTCTTTCAGCAAGGGTGGCAGACTTCTTATTCGCGATGGTTCGGGTTTGGGATTTGCTTTGTAGACATATGGCTCAGCATGCGGTTTGATATCCGGAAATGCACACCGAGACAAAATAATTGATAAACAACAACAACCATGACCAACCGTGTATGCCATCATGACGAGTATTGGGACCGTGCTGTGAGACCTTGTCGGATCATGTACGTGCTAGACAGAGACTAGAAAAGCGAACAAAAGTCATTTGTCCGTGAGGCAAGAAATGAGGAAAACTGTTGGAAGGGTTTACAAAGGCCAATTTCGTAGCCCATCGTGACACAGCCCATTCCAATCCTCGGAAGAGTTTGAGGATATTTACCGACGACCCGGGACGAACGGGGCCCGATATTGGCAGCCGGTCATTACAATAGACCACGATAACAATGGCATTGTATGTCTCTGATTAATTTATTGGTCTGGATCATCTTGGCATTCTTGCACTGCCACGGAAGAAATGAAAGGGCCACAATCCAGATGAGACTCTACGGGCGTTTATTCAATATAGAAGCATAACAGATAGACGCCCGTAGTTCGCCCGGCATGTCAAATTAAAGAGCCGCCGGTACTACGATATGTAATTCTATTCTGGTAACTTGTTTACTTGTGCAGGATCATGTAGCTCCATGGCATGTTTGGGTGATTAGCCGCCTGACAAGAATAGCGAGCAAGGGTATGTATGTTTGGGCGCTTGCAGTGTATGTAAGCGCCTGAGCAGCGATGAAGGATAGATCCAATGATGAAGTCGTGTTTCAGCTGCAGCGAAGGATGTATCGAAATATTATATGAAACGACTCCTGATAGCAATTGGGGGCTATGTTGTACTCGTAAGCTACGTACCAATATTGTTTAGGTACGTTGGAGTTGTTTTGTTGTTGGGCAAGATACTGGAGGCAGCCCAGAGAACAGAGACTTTATAGCCAATACATTGATTGATGGCCATGAATTCAAGGGCCAAGGCTAAGGTAGGTACGTATTTAGTAAACCCAATAATAAAAACATCACGACTCTTTAATCTATGTCACGATGCATCAAGCTTGAATCCCTACACTGCTGAGATACTAGATCTGGCTTATGGTAGCTCTCACCCTATATTCAGGCGATCGTCAGCGGCAGTGCAGCAGCTGGACCAGGGGTCAAACGTTTAACAGCGGGAAGCGCCAATCCGGGCGCGGGTTGAGCCGAGGCTCGAAAACTGGGAACCAGAGACCAGAGGCCAGAGGCAGCCCGGAACTCCGCTCCGTTCGAGATTCGACCGGACCGACCGATCAACCGGGGCCGAAGAGGGCGAGGGCGAGGAAAGCTTCGGACGCGACCACGGAAGAAGAATCTCAAAGAGGATGAACATTTACAAACAATTATGATCATGCTTGAGATATTTGGGTCGGTCTGGCTCGGTGTGGTTAAGTGTAGATCCAGCAAGCATTGATGAATACGAGTTGGACCTTGTCTTCACCGCAATATGAGGAGTCATCTTGATGCCCTGATCACGCATGGATTCAAGGCAGTAACTTTTAATTTAGTTCAGCTCTAGTCTGTCTAACTTCCCCGCATCGTCACAAGTAATGGCAATGGCGTTGGTGTTGATGTTGGGCATGAGCATGAGGGAGGCTACCTAGACTGACTAACTGACTAACTACTAAGGTAGCCCAACCACGCGGACAAAGTGGCCCAGACCCAGGTCATGAGATGGCATTGACCCCTCAGCAGCCACTTTTACTAGGAGAGACCTTGGGAATAGGGCATGAAAGGGCCGAGATAGTGGCTGATTGATCCTTGAGAGTTTATGGGTTTGTTGGGCCCTTGAGATCAAATGATGACCGTCTTGAATATCAGGTTTCTAAACAAGGTCGAGACACTATGATGTGGACCAACTACCTACGGATACAATGCTCGAGTATACGGAGGACAAGTCACAAACTAAACACTGCAGCCAACTAATAGAATCAACCACAAAACATACGAATAGCTGCATAAACCGAAGCCAGCCAAACGATAACACGGTTTGACCCTGGCTGCAGGGAGGAAGACGGGGAACTGCAGGCCCCGAAAGCGGTCGGTAGGCCGGTCTCGTATGTACATACATGAGGTACCTACGTGTTGGCGTCGCCACAGTCTATATCCGGAGCATGAGCCACAGTCACACTGCGTACATACCTAGGTAACGTATCTGCGTATGTAATCCGACCTCAGCCACATCTACACGGAGCAAACTCTTTCGCAGCGAGTCAGAGCCACGCGTTTTTGACATGCAGGCGTCAGGGATACATATGCGGGGCTGGCCAATCAGCTGAGCCAGATATGAGAGGATCTTGGGGGGCGTGCGACTGTGGCTTCAGTGTGTTTGCCCATGAATGGCTCAGGGGTTAGGGGCTAGGGGTTAGGGGGGCTTGAGAGTGAATGGACTGTCTGTGGACAGCTGTGGGTGACTATCGTGAGTGGATGGATGGATGGATGGCTCCCTGTGAACTGTCAATGGTTGCAGCAGATTTCATGGCTCCAACCAAGATCAACAGCGGTGAGAAAGAGTTTTCTACATGTACAATACAATGCGTCCGATGAAATGAGTAGATTAATTAGTGACATGACTTTCAGGAACAAGAGAATGCAAGCGGTCATGCTAGAGATCTTGTCACTTGGGGGGAAGTGGGCTCGATCAGACCACCAGATCTCGCGATACACTCAGATGATCACTGCACGCACATCCTGATCCTCGATGCCCTCATGGCATGGCTGGAGAGACGAATTGACCCAGCTAACTCAATCTCGACTTGGCTGAAGAATCTACGGCGGGCCGACAATTGTATGTACGTAGGGCTGCTGTGAGCTGTGAGTGAGTGAGTGAGTGAGTGTTGGTGAGGAAAGGCTAAAAATGGGAAGGGGGACGATGATCCTGGTCGAGCTCGATGGCGATCTTGAAGGTCAAGCTTGGGCTTGGGGGGGCGTTTGCTTTTTAGTGCAGGGGAGGGGCCTCTTGGTTGGTATGCAGAGTTGACCATCGATGCCTTCTTTTTCGAGTGGCTTCATCACCCTGAATGGGTTTATTGATCAGCCTTTCCTCCTTTGCAAGGAATAGATAGCAATAGGTACCTAGGAAGGGCCGTAATCATCAGATCAAGTGTTGCTCTGTAAGGACGAAAAGTCTCCCTCGCGTGAGCCATTGGCGGTGATGCCCACCCTTTCCTTACCTGTGCATTCCTCAAACGGGCTGCTCCCGAGCCAAGCTAGTGGCGTCTGCCGACCGACGGGATCAGTCAGTTCGTGAAGCCTGGTGGTTGCATCTCGCAGCACTCACAGGAGAGATGTTGTGCAGGGGGTGCTCTAGTGCTTCTCCTTCAGGCCTAGAGTCTGGGGACTATTTGCATGGACTGAGACAGATGGCAGTTTGATCTTCAAGGACCGTCAGTCTACAAACAGACGACGAACAAAGACAAGGGATGAAACGGTTGATTTGATGGGCTATCGCTTCGAGGCTGGCTGATAGCGTCAGGTGAAGGAGGTCGGTGATTGACGATTATCACCACACGCACGCGTTTGTATGTAGGGAGAGCATGTCCCATGAAGCCCGGAATGCATATGCACGAAATGGGAGGTCCATATTAACCGATAGGACTCGATGAGTCTGTTGCGGGATGGCCGCTGCGGATAGTGCTATCCATAGAACGGACAGATTTGAACCCGTGGTTTGATATTATGGATCGCCAAGACCTCGTTCTGGAGGCATTGTATTGTCATGCTGGCAATGATTAGTTTTAGCCAGCCAAACGATTATCTCATATATGTATGCGTTGGGATCTGTGGCTGCCCTCCGAACGCCGTCGGCCTCTAGACGAAGCCATCGCGACATAGAAAATAACGAGACACGACCAGAAACAGAGAAAAAAGAAACGGTCGGTGACGAGATGAAGAGGAATGTGACTCGGTGGTGAACGACGCCCCCTTTCCTTTCTTTCCTTTCTTTCCGCTACAGTCTCGCTTGTCAGGCTCTGGATCTGAACCCAAGGGTTTGGGTCTGAGTGAAGCGCCACCAAGTCAATTTGAGTCTCACGATTGGGACATGGCTGCGCTTATTTGAAATAGTGAGAAGAAAAGGGAAGAGAAAAGTGGTCTGATAAGCTAAGTAAGCAGGTAAGGTACCTAGGTAGTAATAAACCTCCTCCATCGTGAAGCGTTATCATTTGTAGGTGCGATAACCTAACTTACACCGCACACAGACCAGTTCAACAACGTGGAGTTGAACGCACTGGCTTCTCAACCTCAGCTGGGGTCAGGTCAAGATACGTATAGTACAGTACATACAAACAACAAGACCGGGTTAGTAGTTGAGGATTGGTTAGCCGACGGATGTTTGAAGTGTGCTGTGCTGAGCTGGCTGTTCGTTTGTATTTGTGTCTGCGTTACCAGGCAATTACCCTGAAGCGAAGCCAGAGGAAACACAGACGAACGAGAAAGGCTAGAAGAGGACCCAAAAGTGTCGCAAGTCAGCTCCTCTTGGC